ATGGGAGAGCAGACATCAGCAGGTCCAAGAGCACCCCCCCAGGACGGCACCTCGGGGTGCAGAGAGGATGCCCTGCTGGCATTTGGGGAGACGCGGGAGCCTGTGCTTCCTGTCCCCAGAGCTGGCGTCCGGCGTGGGTTGGCAAGACCCCGCTGCCACCGGGCAGTCTCCCAGGTGTGGCTCTGCCAAGGTCGTGTCCACCACGGAGCTGCCTCGGTGACTCGGCGCCACAGGGAGGCCCCCGGAATGTGGCCGATGGGGAGACAAGGTCCTTCTCTGTCTTCCCGGAGCCGGAGAGGCAGGCGAGGTGAGGGCGGTGAGGAGGGAGGAAGGCTCAGAGGAGACCATGTTGGGATGCCCAGGAAAAGGGCAAGCTTGGGGGACCCACAGGCTTGGGGACCCAAGCTGAAAGCGAAGACTCAAAATGAGACAATCTCTCTGTGTGACACTCTCCCCGTGACAGACACCTAATTAAAACTGGACGGAATCAGGCAAGAAAGCTACTTCATCTAGACTATATTTGCCTTGCTAATTTAGGTGTCCGTGAATGTGTGTGTGTGTGTGTTTTCCTGTTGGGTGAATGTTTATAAAATCTTAATTAGGTTGTGCGTATTGGAACAGAGATGGAAATACATCTTCTTTTTTTTCTTCCTAGAATGGTCTTACTTCCCCAGGGGACATTAAAGCTCCATACACAATATTCTCTGAGCAGAGACAGTAGTAATGGCCTTTGACGGTGGGTTTCGAGGGAGGAGGGAAAAAGTGTCTTGGATTCAATCACAGATGAATGCATGATCTCTTACTAATTTTTTTTTAAAAATCAAAACCTCAAAATTGAACTCAAAGCAGTTATTTATAACCTGTCAGGGGAAACTGGCATTTCAATATCAATCTCATATTGGATACATTTTTAACAACCTTTAATGTGACTGAGAAGCCGGGGGAATGCACCAGGCATGCAGAGTGGGCACTCGGGATTCGTGGGAAGGAACTGAACGAACAGAGGGTTGGGAGTCTGGGGCAATCCCATGACACCCTGGTCTTCTCTTCTGGTCTCTGCCCCTCCCAGCTGAGTCCCACTCCTGGAACTACAGACTGATGTTATTCCCCTCCAGCGCACTGAAGGGGAGCACGGCTGGGAAAGGGGCCTCCTGGTGGCACTAGTGATAAAGAATCTGCCTGCCAATGCAGGAGACGTAAGAAACACAGGTTCGATCCCTGGGTAGGGGAGACCCCCTCCTGGGCAGGGCAACACACTCCAGTGTTCTTGCCCGGAGAATGCTATGGACAGGGGAGATTGGTGGGGTCAAAAAGAGTCAGACAGGACTTAGTGACTTAGCACGCACACATGGCTGAGGAATGTCAAGTGGGGCAAGGCTGCCGGAGATGGGATGAGAGGGCAGGAGGCTTGGCTTGACTTAGATGAGAACCTTGGAGCAATCAGCCCTTCACCAGGGAGGTGGCCCCTTGAAGGCAAGCCGACCATCCGGACAGGGTCAAGGGGCTCGCTCACATTCAGGGAAAGGGGCCAAGATGCAAGGACCAGATAGAGCAATCAAGGAACCACGTCTCAGCTTGGTCTTTCTCAGGGACAGAGGTGAGGCCGTTTGTGTTTCTGATGACCTCTCTGGATTCTCTGGGGGTCCCCAGCACTTGCAGCTTGTGATCGAGGCTGAGATCTGCTGAACAGGACTGAGGAATAAGGTCCTTGCGACAAGGGAATGGGGTTGCTTTTTTTTTCCTTTTTAAAATTTTTATTTATTTTTGGCTGCACGACATAGCATGTGGGATCTTAGTTCCCCGACTAGGGATCGAATGCACACCCACTGCGGTGGAAGTACAGAGTCCTCACCACTGAACTGCTAGGGAAGTCCCCGGTGTTGCTTTTCCATGATCCAGGGAGGCGCTCCGGATGCTGCCTCCATCAGCAGCGCTCGCGGTTTACTGCGCATGCGTGTCCTCTAGGCATCAATGCAGAACCCCGTTCAGGGCGTCTGGGATGGGGCTTGAGATTCTGCCTTGACCCTCCCTGGACTCAGGGACCACAGTTTGACTAGCCAGGGTCTAGAGCCCAGAGTGGTGATTCTGCCTCACCCAGAGGACTTGTTAAAACGTGGGTTGCTGGTCCCTCCACGCCCCCACTGGGGCTTCTAATCCAGTAGGTTTGGAGGAGAGTCACAATTTGCTTTTCTAACAAGTGCCCAGGTGACAAGGGCGGAGTCGGGAGATGACACTTCAAGAGTCACAGGTATCGGAGACAGAGACTTGCATTGGGAGCTCAGGGTTCAGCAGGGACAAAGAGACAGTGCAGAAAGCCCAGTGGACAAGATGCGCGGTTCCTGGGGACCAGGTTCACACCGCGTGCTGCAGGTACTAGAGGAAGAGGAAGTGAAATTGGTTGTATTTTTTTGCATGTATTTTTAAATTTTATTTATTTTTAAATTGAAGGATAATTGCTTTACAGAATTTTGTTGGTTTCTGCCAAACATCAACGTGAATCAGCCATAGGTGTACCTATGTCCCCTCCCTTTTGAACCTCCCTCCCGTCTTCCTCCCCATCCCACCCCTCTAGGTTGTTCCAGAGCCCCAGTTTGAGTTCCCTGAGACATACAGCAAATTCCCATTGGCTCTCTCTTTTACATTTGGTAATATAAGTTTCCACTGGGTTTTGAAGAGTCAGTCAAGTGCAGGTAAGTGGAGAGGAAGGAGGAGGTCCCAGTGGAGGGAACTTGTTGGAGGCAGAAGAAGTAGACACAAGCAAGAATATCTTGTCTCCTTCCTCCCCGCGATTTCTCCCTTGGTGAGGGTCACCAGGGGAAGGGCCATCTCCCCTCTGCCTGGACCAGGCGGTGCTCACCGTGACTGCACATGCTTAGGCTACCCAGGGAGCTTTTAATACCACTGACGCTTCAGCCTTTCCCCCCAGAGATTCTGAATTGATTGGTCTTAGGTGGGACCCAGACTTCTAGGTTTTTTTGTTGTTGTTGTTGCTGTGGTTCGTTTCTTTCTGGAGTAAAGTTCCTTCAGAGATTCTTACATGCACACAGGGTTGAGAATCATTGGCTAAGATGCAAGCATATTCCCATTTTCCCAGCTGCAGTTTGTTGGGAGTTAGGCAAAGGATTGCCCCTCCCTTATTTATCACACCCCCTACAGAATCCCCCCGCCGACCTCTGCAAAGCAGGTAGCTGAGCATCTGGTAAACATCTGCCCGGTTCCCCCACGGGGCAGGGTGACCTACTTTCCTGCCTGTGGCTTCAGTGGCACAGAGGGGCTCTTGGGACGGAGGGGCAGATGGAAATGTCAGCGTGTCTGTGTTGATGCTGCATTTGGGCGTCACCCAAGCGCTTGTTTCTCTGTCAGATTCCGGATGCGGTGTTTAGGTGGTAATAAACCACTGCCGCCAGGCGCTAGCCAAGGAGATCGAAGCAGCTGGCAGCATCCAGAGATATCCTGGGCTTCTGGCTGCCAAGCGCTGGCAGCTCTGGGCTGGGGCAAGACAAAGCCAGTGCACAGACTGTGTCGGCGGGAGTAGGGTCCCCAGGCGGCAAACGGCACACCTGGACATTCTCGGTTCACGGCAGGGCTTCCTTCTCCCCCGGTGCCAGCTTCCCCAGCGACCAGAGGGCACGCTGGGAGCACACCTCTCTGTGCCCAAGCTCCCCCGGGAGGTAGACCATGGTGCCATTCACTGTTACAGTTGTTTGTGGGTCTCGTGGCTGGGCATCATTGTGAGGGAAGATGGGACCACGCCAGGTGAGAGGCAATCCCTCCTAGGAGGCTCCATCTCAATGCGGGTTCCACCTTGGGGATCAGATACCCTGAAGGAGGCCAGGAGCTTGGGACCCCCCTCCCCTTCCTCTTTTCACCTCTTCGTGTGTGATCAGTCGCTCAGTCATGTCCAACTCTTTGTGACCCCATGGACTATAGCCCGCCAGGGATTTGCCCACAGGATTTCCCAGGCGAGAATACTGGAGTGGGTTGCCACTTCCTACTCCAGAGGATCTTCCCTACTCAGGGATCAAACCCAGGTCTCCTGCGTCTCCCGAGCTGGAGACGCACGTCCTTTACCACTGTGCCACCTGGGGAGCCAAAAAGAACAGCAGAGAGAGAGGCTGGGTTCCATCCTTCCTGTGGCCGAGTGAGAGGAGCTGGGCGCATCACTGCCCGGCCTTCTGGTTCAGCGCGTCGTGGATGTCTCCCTGTGTCCTCCTCCTGTGTCCTTGGACCTGTTTCAAGCATTTTCTGGGGCTGGCAGACAGAGGCGGAGACCCGGGAGAAACCTAGCCTGCGAGATGCTCTGGCCTTGGGCGTGAGTCGGAGCGCACGTGTCCTTCTGGGAAGCAGCCCGGAGCACTGCAGGTCCTCCACGCCACCCTGTGTCACCGGGGTTTATTAACCTTTCCTCGGCACAGCAGAGAGCATCGCATCTCTCTGCACAAGCTCTCAAAGACCTTCGATTATTTAGTGTGGGCTCCCCTCCCTGTTTTCAGGAGGCGCTTTTATTAATGTCTCCCCAGTCGGATTTCTGAAAGAACAGTTTGTCTCACCTCGACAAGAGAGTTTGAGAGAAGCGTGTGAACGGGATTCACTTGGGTGCAGGTTTCCGCTCCTTCCTCCCCGCTCCCTCCTCCCACGCAGCTTCCAGATCCCCAGCTCTGAGAGGCTCCAGCCCTCCCATCAGGACCAGGCCCTCAGGTTCGTCCCTGGAAGGGTTGGGATGTTTTTCTAGCCTTCCAGCCACGTGTCTCCCCTCTCAAGAGAGGCAGGGAGGAAAACGGAGGCTCTTAGGGCTCTTCTGGGTGTTCTCAAAGTGCGGGAGGAAAGGCCAAGGAGGAGAGCCCCCTCCCCAGCAAGCCGGAAGCTGCTGCTCCCCGCTTCCAGCATCTCTCTTCCACCCCTTGGTCCCCAGAGGATGTGTGGGTGCTGAATGTGTGAACCCAGCCGCTGCAGGAAGTCATCAGGCTGGGCTCAGGAGGGCAGGGGGATTTGTGGCTGCAATGGAAAGGCTCATCTCAGCCCTGCAGACCCAGGGAGCTGAGCAGGATGCCTGCTCCTGGCGGCAGCTGGCCCAGGTGTGGAGCCAGGGTGAGGATGGGCAGGTGGGGTGGGGCTGGCCGGCGTGGATGCAGAGGATGCTGGAGCAGACTGGATGCGGCAACAGCTGGGAGGGGTCGTCTTTAATGTCCTTCCCAGCCCGGAAAGCTTGGGCTTCTAAGGTTCTCAGAATAAGACACAATTGGCCAGCCCTCCTCGCCCTCAGCTTTGGAAGCTTCTAAACACAGCCCCTACCGTTTGACCCTGAGTGCTGACGGAGGTGGCAGTGGTGGTGGCCTGAGCTTAGAGGACCGGTCCCAGCTGCTCAACCAGCCCGGGTCAGGCCCCAGCCTGACCGCACCTCTCCAGCCCTCCTGGCTCCCAGCACTGCCGCCCTCCGCACCCTGCCTCGCCCTTGCCAGTCACCCGTCTCCCGTCCACCTTGCTCACCCAGGCCCCGCACCAGGATGCCTCTCAACGGGTTTTTTTTGAGGTTCAACTCCAACACCACCCCCTCCACGTTGCCTCGATAACTTCCCTCCCACCTCCCCTCCATCTCCTCCCCACTGCCCAAGCAGGAAGTCATCTCCCTCGTTGGGATTCTCGGAACACTTTCTCTATACTTTGTCAGGGGTACCCATCAATTTTTCCTCTTTAATCCGAGTTATCTACCTGCATATCTTATATCATCTCTGAGTTGGCAAGCTTCTTAATGACAGGAGTCATACCTCATCCGCCTTTATGGCCGCACTGCACTCAGCCCCGCAAATGTTGATTGAATGAGTAGAAACTCAACCTAATGACGTCCTGGGAGAAGGTCGTTCATCTCTTCTTTGCTGTTGAAGTTGGGAGCCCTCCTGGTCCAGGGGAGGCAGCTGGGTGAGACTTGGTCCCCTGACCAATTAGAAGGCATTTCCTGTTCCACCTCACATTCCTCTGGGATGTTGTTAGCTGCTGGGGTCCACCACATGGATCAGACTGACACGGATGTCACTTGTCACCTGCCAGCCCCTAGCAACTGGCATCTCCCTGATCCTCCGGTCAGTCCAGCCAGAGACGGGGGTTGGAATCCCACTGTGGAGCCTTCCTGGTTCTCCTGGGGCTTACTCCAAGACCACCATCTGCCTCTGCTGGGCCTGTGTTTATGATGTGTGCATGTCTCCCCCACTAAAACACAAGCTATGTGAAGGTAAGGAATGCTGTCTGCTTTGACCCCTAACATGCATTTTAAAAAATAATTTTCTAAATTCATTTTTGGCTGTGCTGGGTCTTCCTTGCTGTGTGGGCTTTTCTTTAGTTGAGGCAAGCGGGAGCTACTCTTGATAAGCAGAGAACGGGCTCTAGGACGTGCGGGCTTCAGTAGTTGCAGCGTGGGGACTCAGTGGCTACCAGGATCTAGAGCGCAGGCTCAATAGTTGTGGTGTGTGGACTTAGCTGCTCTGTGGGGTGTGGGGTCTTCCCAGTGGGGTGTGGGGTCTTCCCAGATCAGGGGTTGAACTCAAGTCTTCTGCATTGGCAGGCAGAGTCTTTACCACTGAGTCACCAGGGAAGCCTGATCGCTAATGTATCTTAAGGATTTAGATCATACCTGAGTAGGAGATCAATACAGATCAATACAGATCAATACAAAGAATGGATGGATGGATGGATGAATGAATGAATGGATAAATGATCTTAGCTATGACATCACCACCAAAGCCCTCACTGTGTCTGTGACTCATTCTGTGTAGGAAAACCAGCCCCTCCCACCTTCACCACTCGAGGTGGACAAAAACTCCATCATGATACAGAACTAACTCCATTCCCCATTCTAGTTTAGAATTGCCAATGGTCTCAAGGGGTTGAATGAAATTCTAAGAATAATCCTCCCCAAATCTGCTTCGATAACAGCGCTTTCCATCCTCCTGGCTGCCGGAGGGCCACGTCTATAAATTCAAACAATAGGACGAGCTGAGTCCCCAGAGCCCTCGCTCCTGGAGCCCAAATAATAATCCCTGGTTTTTGGCAGGATTTTCTGGTTTCTCTTGAGCTTGAAAGGACGGACCGTCCCTGCCAAGTGGAACCATCGTGCCGTAAAAGCTGGCTGAGATTGTGAGTGCCCTTTGGAGTCAGCTAATTGGTACGTTCAACTGGTGTTTGGCCGGCGTCAGGCACGAGCATCTGTTAACCCATTTGGTGCTCGAAAGAGTAGATGCTGTTACCCGCACTTTACAGACAGAGAAAGGAGCTTGCTTTCCCAGAGTTACATGGCCAGAGGTGACTGAGCAGAGCTTAGAGGTCAAACCTGGGACTCAGAGGTCTAGGGACTAAGTCACATCTGCAGGGGTGAACGGTTCTAGAATTCCCAAAACTAGGCTTACCCAGGGTGTGGCCATATGGCACAGCAGAAGCCTTGGTGATGGTGATGCTGTGTGTGTGTGTGTGTGTGTGTGTGTGTGTGTGGTGTGTGCAAGAGAGAGAGAAAGGGAAAGAGGAGATCTTCTATAACCTATGGCCAGTTTCATTTCAGGTCCTTTCGAGAACTCTTGAACCCTGGTTATAAAGGCAGAACTGTGGTCTGAGGATGCGGTGTTGAAGGTGATGCCGAAGAGCACAGGTGAGGGCAAAGGTCACAGAAACTGATGTGATAACTACAGCCTCAACTAGGAGTCACTATCCTCAGCACCCCTGGGGCTGATGCTCATCACCATCACCACCAACACAATATCATGAATAATACGGAGCGTTTGCTCTGTGTCAGGCACACATTTAAACCCTATCGTGTAAGGGGCAGGCGTGCCTGTGCTAAGTTGCTTCCGTCGTGTCTGACTCTGCAACTCTGTGGACTTCAGCCCGCCAGGCTCCTCTGTCCATGGGATTCTCCAGGCAACAGTACTGGAGTAGGTTGCCATGACCTCATCCAGAGGATCTTTCTGACCCAGGGCTTGAACCCACATCTCTTAGATCTCCTGCATTGGTGGGTTCTTTACCATTAGTGCCACCTGGTAAGTGGCATAACTATCCCCATTTTTCAGAATGGAAAACTGAGGCACGCTGCAGGATTGTGCCCAAGGACACTTATTCCTTGTGTGGAACTGGGGGAGGGCCAGACTGGCTGCCTCCAGGGCCCTGGGTCTTCATCTCTCTGCCACATAATAATATCTTGAGAAAGCAGAGAGATTACATGTATTGAGCACTCCAGACTCATTCACTCAGAATTCGAGAAGGGATCCGGGAGGGCAGGGCACCAGGAGGACCCAGGATCAGTGAGGCCCTGACCTCCCCGAGATGGGGGTGGGGGAGTGATAAGGCACTTGTATTAAAATGCAAATTTCTGCCTTGCTTGCTGGTTTATCATCTGACTCGTTATACAATTTGCCAGTTATAGAAGAAAAATTACCATAATGGGGCCCTAGGGAATGGTTGTAAAAAGGAGACCAAACGTTACTTATCGGCCGTTCCACTACAATTATCTACTGTGTTTGTTCTTTTCCTCTCCAGAAAAATGAAACCATCAATGCCAGCGACAGGGTGCTGACCCTGTGGGAGGGAGCACGTGGGAGCAGAGAGGCTGCGCCTTTGATGGGCTTTTTCCCTTTGATCTCTCCTCCTGGGTCCCCAGACTCCCTGCTGGTATCGCCCTGGGGCGGCCCCCTTTGCAGAGCAGGGCAGCGAGGAGAGTTTCTGAGCAGGAAGAAGACAGAGGATCAGGCAGGTGAAGTTTAACGCTGTCCTTGATCTCAGTGGCTCAGGGCTGTGCCTTTCCCGGGGATGGGCTTGTGTGCGGAGGTGGGACAGCCCCCAGGGCCCACTGAGCATCATTACTCTGTCTCACCTGGTGTCCGCCAGACACTCCAGACTCCGGAAGTTTGCACAGCCTCAAGTGTCTGCAAGGGGGCAGTGGCTCTGTGGGCTGCACCCCTTGAGCATGCTTGTCCTGAAGCCTGAAAACCCTTTCTGCTGCTAAGATCCCTTTTCAACTGGTACCTGCCAGCCTGACCCACTCCCGGGCTCCTCACAGGCAGGCGCTTGGTCTCATTCAAGCTGACTTTCTCAGTCACCTTGCTTAGCTCCGGGGACATGATAAGGAGGAAATAAATATCACACGAATGAATGAGAGCGGCTGTCTGAGAATTCGTGTCTGTGTGTTTTCAGGTTTTGCTTAAGGTGTCTTCCCCGTGGTCTAGCTTCTTTTAGGTCCAACCAAATCTTCCCCAAGCCCCGAGACCTCTGGTGATGCCTCCGGCCTCTAGAAGCGGCATATTCAAACAGTCAGGGGAGCAGAGAGCACTGTTCTCCAGGCCACCCACGCATGCTGTTCAGATATTTTTTACTTTTTACAAGCCTTAGGCTTTCCGATGATTCTTTTTATTCCACCACGGAAATTAGGACTTCTTTTGTTTTATTCCGGGAGTGCTGGCTCCTCATTTCTGCCACGATAGGAAGGGTAGACCTTCAGTGCTCCCCTGAGTTAAATTTACCAAGGCCACATCGCCCACCATGCACTGAAAAGTTCCAAAACTGTGACTAGAGGTTTCCCAGACTCTTGGAAGAGAGAGCCATGGTGTGGCTGAGGCATCCACACATTTTCTTACAAGTTAGACCCAAGCGGGAGGAACCACACGCTGGTGCCTGGGGTCAGGAGTTAGGTGGATTACTCTGTCCTTTATGGCCCAGGGGCCATAAAGGTTTAGTGGAAAACAGTTTTTCACAGACTGGGAGTGGGAGATGGTTTGGGGATGAATCAAGTACGCTACATTTACTACGAACTTTATCTCTATTGTTAGAACATCAGCTCCACCTCAGATCATCAGGCAGTAGATCCTGGAGGTTGGGGACCCGAGATTAGAAGACATATTTCCAGCTTGATTTCTGGCCATCCACCCCTTTGAGGGGCAGAACAAGCCAGTCTCCAAGTTCTTAGGTGGCAATCCAATCCAGCTGCTTCATAGAGAGGGCACTACTTTACCTATACCTCAACATTCCCAAAACTAAGATCATGGTGTCCAGTCCCATCACTTTTATGGCAAATAGATGGGGAAAAAGTGGAAACAGTGACAGATTTTAATTTT